CCCTTCCTGTCAAGTTCCCGCATCCTCGTCATTTATCGTGGACCTTCATCTGCCCAGTGATCCTTAACTTCGTATTCTTCTTTATCTCCGTGCATAAATGTGGCGACTCGGAGGGTGAAATGCCTTTGTCCACTTCTTCCTAAGATACTACGCTCATCGGTTGCGTGATCTTTTGCTTATAATATCACTCCAATATTTTGGCCGTTTCTGCATATCCCTCGTCTCATTAAGGACTAAAGTGATCTATCTTCTGGATCAATGGTTTGGATCCTGAGTATCGAGAGAAAGCAACAACCCCTCCTCCTACCCCCCCCCGCCATTTGAAGCGGAGGCTGTAGCAGGGGGCTTGTCTCATTCCATTTCTTCACAGGCCCCTTAGTTATTTCAACCATTTTCTATTCCTCCACCGCCCCCGACGACGCCACCAACACCAACACCATCGACGACCCACCCCCCTCCCCAGGACGCACGCTCCTCCGCATGCTCCTCTACACCCTACTCACCTCCCTCATCCTCCTCGCGGCCCTCCTCGCCACCACCACCCCCCACAAAAAGCCCCGCTACCACTTCCTCCTCTGCTTCCTCGGCTTCATCATCTCGGTCGCCTGGATCTCCACCATCGCGGGCGAGGTCGTCGGCGTGCTGAAAGCCCTAGGCGTCATCCTGGGCATCTCCGAGGCCATCCTGGGGCTGACCGTCTTCGCGGTGGGCAACTCGCTCGGCGATCTGGTGGCCGATGTGACGGTGGCGCGGCTGGGGTACCCCGTCATGGCGCTGGCGGCGAGCGTTGGTGGGCCGATGCTGAATATCCTGCTGGGGGTGGGCATTGGCGGCGCGTGGATGGGCATTAGCAAGGCGAAGAAACATCAGCGAAAGCATCCCGGGAGTGAGTTAAGGTATAAACCGTATCGGGTCAGGGTGGGGGGCACGTTGATGATCTCGGCGGTGACGGTGTTGTTGACGTTGGTGGTGCTGTTGGTTGTGGTGCCGTCGAATGGGTGGGTGATGAGTAGGAAGATTGGGTGGGGGTTGATTGGGATCTGGACGGTGGGGACGGTGGTGAACCTGGTGGTGGAGATGACGGGGACGTTTGCCGATGTGTCCTTGGGGATGTGAGGGGAGGGGTGAGGGGAGGGGAATTACGACGGGATGTGGGATATCCGACCGAGGCTTGGATGTGACTGGAGCCCCCCGATGTGTTACACACGGTACAGGGTCCGGTTATGCGGCCGCTCTGCCGTGTTGCATGGCATATGCTGCAGGACAGAGCCGGCACGGCACGTATATCACACTTGCTGGAGGGTTAAGTCGGACTGGGGAGGTCAGGATCGCCGGCATCAGAACACGGCCGCCGTCACCATTGGCATTCCATCAACCTATCCCGCACTCGACCATGAAAGGGACACGGGGACAGCGGCCACCTCACTCGATCAGGCTATGCGATGCGCCACGGTTGGGATTTAGTTGGGCGTAGCGCCAAGTTGGTGCCTTGAAAGGAGAAGGGATGTACCAGTCCCAGCCCGCGAGATACCCAACCCCGGCCCGAGAGAATGAAGCCCCCGACTTCTGGCCGGGGGCTATGAAGAGAATGGCAGGCATCCACAAGGCGGCGATGGCTAGTCTTGACTTGTCTGTTTTGAGGGATGATGCCGATGAGTGGGTATAGAATGGGAATTGATAAAACTCAGGATTCCAATTGCGACGACGAGTTGGCAGGTCATGCCTTGTACTTTAGAGAGAAGGTATTCCCTGAGAAACCGTTTTAGACCGCTGAAACTACGGAAGGCAACAAATCTATCGGAGAGGTTCTGGACTACGTCATCCAGTGGTTATGTGGATATTGTAAATCTGTAAATATTTTTTGTTCATTCCCAGGATCTGGCGTTTGGTACATACATAACCACCTACTTGTAGGTGGCATCACGAACAATGGGCAAGCCTAGGCGAGGTACCTTATGATGGCCCCTGAACCCCTGAAGATTCCCCTCTTGGCCGCCGGCATAAGGGGAGTGGGGCATGCTTGGGTGTTAATGGAGGGGTTGCAGCAGCAGGGAGGGGCAACCGCCTCTCAGCTTCCCCAGACGACAACGTGGGGCCAGGAACCAGTCTCGAAGAGGGGGATATCCTTCACCGAAACTTTGAACCGCCGACTTTGTGAAGCCGTATCTGCCCTACCTGCCCAACCAATTCGCCTTTTGCCTTTCTCGCGGTTCCCATTTTCCACCTCAAACTCGAATTTCTTTCCACCCACTACACCGACCATTCCAACCACACCAACCACCTATCTACCCCATCAGCAATGGCTTCCTACCCGCCCCTCGCCGAGCGCGAGGTCAAGAACACGGTCGTCCTGTTCGATGTCGACGGCACCCTGACGCCTGCTCGTTTGGTATGCCCCTTCCCCGTCCTCCCCCATAGCAACATACCAGCCGCAAACTAACCTGAGGCGCGCATCTTCCAGTCCGCCTCCCCCGAAATGCTCAACCTCCTCGAGCGCCTCCGCCAAAAGGTCGCGATCGGCTTCGTGGGCGGGTCCGACCTGGTCAAGCAGCAAGAGCAGCTCGGGTCGGCCTCGGTCAACGTGACGACCATGTTCGACTTCTGCTTCGCCGAGAACGGGCTGACGGCGTACCGGCTCGGGGAGCAGCTGCCGTCCAACAGCTTCATCAAGTGGATCGGCGAGGAGCAGTACAAGGAGCTGGTGCGCTTCGTGCTGCACTACATCGCCGACCTCGAGATCCCCGTCAAGCGCGGCACCTTCGTCGAGTTCCGCAACGGCATGATCAACGTCTCGCCCGTCGGCCGTAACGCCAGCACCCAGGAGCGCAACGACTACGAGAAGTACGACAAGGAGCACGGCATCCGCAAGGCCTTTGTTGAGAAGCTGCGCGAGCGCTTTGGTCATCTGGGGTTGACGTGCGTACATCCATTCTCTCACTTCTAATTGTGGTCATGACCCAAACCATGTCAACTAACAATCCTTCAACGAACAGCTTCTCCATCGGTGGACAAATCTCCTTCGACGTTTTCCCCACCGGCTGGGACAAGACGTACTGCCTGCAGCACATCGAGAACGAGGCCAAGCGGCCCGGCGGCGTCGAGTACACGACGATCCACTTCTTCGGCGACAAGACGTTCGAGGGCGGCAACGACTACGAGATCTTCAGCGACAGCCGGACCATCGGGCACACCGTCACGGGTCCGCAGGACACCATCGACGAGCTCAAGAAGCTGTTTAATCTGTAAAAGGTGGAAAGGCGGACATCTAGTGGCGGATGGATAGATAATTAATGCAGTTGGGTAATGCCTTAGCATCGGCGTGGCGGGTCCAAAATAAACGCGGTGATTTAATCTAAGAAAACCTCTTGATGGTTGCAGACATGTATCATTCAAACACCCGCTATCCAAGGCTATGAAACCAAACGGCCCCTCTCTCCCAAAGAACCAAAAGATACGTCGAGCAAAAGCCGTAACAAGTAGGAGAAATAACAACCACAGATCCACTTCATCACTCATCATCACCACATCACTTCACAACACCACACCGCATCACCCGTTCTCCTTTCCCTCCCCCACCCCCCCACTCACCTCCCCTCACCTCCCCTCCCACATCCTATTCAAAACCAACCACCATCACCCAGCTAATGCCCATACTCCAAATGCGGCACAATCACCGGCCCATATTTAGTCGTCCCCGTATACATTCCATCCCCCTGCACCACAAAATCCACCGCCAGACTCAACTTACTCAACCCGCCCGAATTCCCCCCACTACTCGCAATACTCGCCGCATACCCACCCTGTTGCTGCTGCTGGGCCTGGCCGGCAGCGGCGCCGTCCGGGTCGTACGCGACGATGGCGACATAGTTGCGGCGGGCCATGAGCTTCTTGTACTCGCGGGCGCCGCCCGACGCGTCCGTGTGGAAGATCTCCATCATGTCCTCCTTGGTGTCCGAGACCTCGTGCGTGGACTTGTGGCCGTTTTGGGGTACGTAGAGCAGCTTGTTGTTGTGTAGCATCTTGAGCAGGTAGTTGGAGCAGGGGGCGGCGACGACGGGTGAGGCGATCACCTGGTACATGGTCTTGTGGTCTGAGGGGTGCGATGGGTCGTGCACGAGGCCTGCGCCGGCGCAGTTCACGTCTGTGGAACGGGTGGGGTTAGTACCGAGTGGGGAAGCGTGGGAGGAGGGGAGGGTGGGAAGGCTTACCGCCGGAGAGGAAAGTCATCCGGATGCCCTTTTGCTGAGCGATGCCTTGCAGGGTGCGGATGAGGTAGGTGCGCTCAATATCTTTGGAGTCGTGCGTCCAGAGATCCTTAAGCTCCTCGGCAATGTCGAACTCGCCGAATTGGTTGAGCACGTTGCCCATCAGGCCAGTCTTACCGACGGCCTTCTTGACTTCCTTGAACCCGTGCTGCACCATCTCCTTGCCGCCGACCACGCCCGCCACCGAGCTGGTCACCTTGCCGAGGATATTGTACGTTGTGTTGACGGCCTTCTTACCCGTGGCGAACGTGTTGGCTAGCGTCTCAACAGTCTCGAGCCGGGGGTACACGACGGGCACCGACAGCATCCAGATGCAGTGCTGCACGCTGGGAGGTAACGTGGCCACCTTGGGGAAGATCCCCTGGTACGTCTGCCCAGCCATGACGCGCGTCTGTGTGCGCTCCGACCGGCAGTCGGGTCCAACCACAACGACAGCGGGACCAAGGTACTTAACGAAGTGCCAGCCGGCGCCCGTGATGGTGAACAGGTCCATGTCGGAGCTGACGTTGCGCAGGATCTCGACGGTGGTGTGGTGCTGGAAGAGCAAGTACATGTCGATGGCGATGCGACCGATGCCCTTAAACACGGCCGAGGACTGCATGTAGTCGGGATACGAGCCAAACCCGTCAAAGCTGAGAAGTCAGTATCCTGCTATTGCCAAACAGTGGGCGAAACTCACATATCATGGTCATCAACTTGCAACACGTGTGGGATCTGGGCGAACGCCTCGCGCATAAACGGCTGGTCAAAGTGGCTGGAGTAGTAGTGGAAGTACGCATGGGAGACCTCCTCCTGGTGCCTCGCCGTCCACGGGGCGTTTTTGCGGTTCTCTCTGCCCTGCATCGCAAGCCACTGCCTCAGCAGCGGCACCTCCTTCCAGAGCCGATCGCCGTAGATCTGGGCACCCAGGCCAAGCTGAACATGGAAGCCGCCGCACTCAACGTTCTTCTGCAGAATGTCTTTCCACATGAACCCGACGCCTCCGAGCTTGGCTCGCTCATTTTGGTTCGTCGACGGGGAAAAGTCGTTGCCCGAGTGGGCGATCATGCGCCATCCCACCTCGTAGCGGCCAGCAACCACAAACTCGTACCTCGTGCACCCGAGATGCGAAGTCACGGCGTATGTCCACCGCTCGGTCCCCTGTTCCGACATCTGGAGGTCCATGTCGTACTTGTAAAAGGTCCACCGCTGGTGTGTGTAGATGTTCTGCGGCACAAGCTGACGCGGGTTCGGAGAGAGGTCCACGCTCAGGTGGAGATGGATAGTCGGGGGCTGCTGGCCGTCGGTAACCAGCAGAATGCTGCCGTGCCAGATGCCCCTCTCGAGGTCCATGTTGACATAGCGTAGATATGGCCCGAAGTACACGCCATTGGTGGGCATGACCTTGTACACGTCAACGCCCGCAGTGGGAGGGGGCCCAGAGAACCCTCCCATAGAAGGGGCCACAGAGGCCGAGACGCTCATGATGCTCTCCGCATATCCAGGATGGCCCTGGGGGTGGAACATGGGCGAGGCAAGGCCTGCCTTACCCCCGCCTAGAAGCGGTGACGCCAAGGGGTTTCCGTAGGTCGACGCCGTAGGCGACAGAGGGGCGACATCGTGGTGGTTCAAAGGGGTGGGTCCCTTCGGGAATTCCCACTGGGTAGCTTGCGTCGCCAGGTGGATGTAGTAGTACTGGCCCGAGTTCTGGTCGAGATGGGCGATCCAGCCCTCGGGTAGCGGAGGGGGCGATTGAGTCGCCGCCAGGAGCGAAGGGGTGTGTGTTAGTGCCGGCTGCCCATTCTGTGCGGCGGCGGGTTTGGTCTCCTGGGCAAAGGCGGGATGGCCGGCATTATGCGCGGGGATGGCAGCGGCAGCGGCCACGGGTGGGCTCTGCTTCTGCTTCTGCGGTGTCGGAGCGCTAATCGGGGTGGGGCTAGCAATGGGGTGGGCGCTTGAGGCGGCGGCAGGCGGAGTGGCGGCGGGGGTGATGTTCGGCACGCTCGAACTCGGATGAGGCTGGGTAGGGCGCTGCTTCTCGTTGGGATACTTTGAGCCCGCGTTGGGGTTGACGCTGGTATAGGCAGGCGGTGGAGTCGATGCCTGCATTCGCTGAAAGTCCTGTTCCAGCACGCTCACCTGCAGGGCGCCTCCTGCGGGTGCCTGCGGGGTTTGCGAGGGATGCGAGGCCGGGTTGGGATTCTGGGGAAGGTTGAAAGCCGGCGTCTGTTGTGGCGGCGTTGGGTCCGATACCACGTCGTCACCCTGATACACCGTAGGGGGGCCAAACGGCTGCTGGCCTGGGGCTTCGGTAGGTGTCCATGGCCGGGGCTGAGGAGGAGTTGAGGCAACCGGGGCTTGGTGGCCATACTGTGCTAGCCTAGATTGCGCCGCAGCGCTCGGAGCCTGGAGGCCGTTGAGAGTCGCAGTGCCCGAGATGCCTGCCGCGGCATAACGTGCCTCGATACCTCCTCCAGGTATCGTTCCCGGTTCGACGATGGGTGTCTCGGGCGGCGGCGGCGATCCCCGGCTTGCCCGTGTTGTAGAGTTGGAGGCGGTGGAAGAGAAGCGGCCGATGGGCGGTGCCAGACCACTACTCGGTGCCAGATTACTACTTGCGCCGCCGGGCGGGGGATAGTAGGGCTTCTGCTGATAAGCGTTCGAGATCTTGGGTACAGGGGCCGCCGGGTTCCTCAGGGGCTTGGCGAAGAGGCCCCCAGCGTCGTCCTCGTCGCCGCCGGCGGGGCTGACCGGGCTCTGCAACGGTTTAGGGGCCGTCCCGCGCCGTTCGGCAAGACCTGTCTTTTTCTCTCCGGTGTTCACCGTCGGCCGAGCAAAAGAGTCTTTCTGCGCCGGGGAGCCCGATGAAATGGGCGGCGGGCTGTAGACCCTGCCTGCCGGAGTAGAAGGCTTGGGCCCGTCATCAGGATAAGGGAGCCAACTGGGCTTGGACGGCTGGGGCTTAGATTGGTGAGTCGAGTCGTCGTCGGGGTAGGGCAACGGGGCAGCAGAGCTCGACGCGCCGAACGGGAAGGACGGGAGCGGCGGGAGAGATGCGATACCCGCCTTGGACGCTGGAGAAGAAGCCGACCCGGCTGGCGAGGACGAAGACGGGGGAGCAGGGTACTTGGGCCGATTCGAAACCCTATCGCCGGGGGCGGGGCTCTGCGGCTTGAATATCCTCAGCGGTTCGACCGTAGGGCTGTCGCAGTCCTCGGCAGGCCGCGGCCGGCTCATAAAGAGCTCTTCATCGGGAACATCGCGCGATCGGGAGCCCATGTTGGGTGGGAGACGGGTGCCCTGGCTCTTCTTGAAGTTGCGACAGTGTGTGCCCGAGGGCTCGAGTGTCGGGAGGAAAAATGGACCGATACTCGCGACGAGCCTGGTGTTGTTGGAGTCCTCTTGTTGAATCTCTTGGGGTGGTGTCACCCTGACAGCAGCAGAAGAGTAACCCCTCCCTGGTGCGGAAGGGTGGGGGCACTTAGCGGTGGAGGGGTAACTGAGATGGGTGAAGCTGGTTCTAGTTGCCGAAAACGGAGAAAGAGATGCCGCAGACACTGTAAAGCTCGAATCTCAACATAAACCACGTACTCAGTTCGACCGAAGCTAAAGTTGCAAAATCCAGGCCGAGGACGTCAGGCAAGGCAATATGCGGCCAGATGCGCAGGCCGCGTTGCGATCGAACAGGGGGCCAGCATGGGGCAGCAGAGGGGCAGGGGTCGCGAACGAGGGGCATTGGTGGCGGCACTGGAAAGCAGCCCCTCTGTGATTGGCCTCGCAGCCTGGGCGCTTAACGAGCTTGGGAGGCCACAGAGCCAGTGAGGGAGCCCGTGAAGCGCCCCCATTGCCGTACCAGACGATTTTCTCTCCTGGCTCGAGCCTGGGCATGTCCACTTGGGCATTGCATTGGTCTTGAACTGGTTAGTATGACTCGACGTCCATCTCGTTGGGTTGCCGGACGGCCGCGGAGCACATGCATCGAGGCCGGCGGGGTTATTGGGGCGGAAAAAGGGGCGCGGCACAATTGTTTGTCGAGTCGAGGGGTGAGAATGGAAGTTGATGAACAGGGATGCCGAGTTCAAGTTGCACAAACACGCATTCTCGGCGGGGCAATCGATCAATGCACGGGCCGTTTGACATGAGCCGACAGGGGAAGGAAATCAGACCAAGAGCGGGCCCAGCCACTGGCTCGCCCGCCATCTTTGGACGGCCATGTGCACTTGCCGAACTCCCGATTCCAGATCTCACACATCAACACCGAAGACTTCGTTCGATTTTGGCCAAAACATCTCTTATTTTCCACTACTGCTCGATAGCATGCCCCTCAGTCCTCGTCAGTTTCAGAAACTCAATATGGGCATGGCTGGTTCACCAACGACTAGGGCTTATGGTAGTTACGTAGTTAGTTAACTATTGGAATTACAATTTTGGGGGGGTTCCATACAGCCTTGATTCTTTCATTCCCTTAACTATCGTATCCAAGCATCATTGATAAAACATTTTGGTTTCGACACGCTCGTATCCCTATTTTAACAGTTTAGATGCAGAAGCCAGCAACTCTTTGCTAGAAACGTTGTTATCTCTCCTGCTTGTTAGGTACTTCGTAGTTACTCACTTCCTAAACGCCAACTCTCACCTCCCCAATCCCTATCCAAGAACCACACGACCACAACCCCCTCACAACAAGCCATCCCCAAAAGCCCCCCTCGCCTCCTGTTCCAACACCCCCCTCCTCACCCGCCTCGCCTTCCACCCCACAAACCCCACCAGCACCACCCCGACCACCAGCCTCAGCACCAACAACAAGACATTCACCGGCACCGGATCGCCCCCAAACCTCTTCTCAAACAACCAATCCAACCCCTCCTGCGAAAAGTTCAGCACCCCGGCCAACGCAATCACCGCGCCATACACCGTCCCAAACGTCTCAAACCCAAACACCTTGGCCGCATAATCCGACACGGCCGTATAATAAAACGGGCGATACAGCACGAACAGCACGACATTTGCGTAGCCGGCCCAGGGGGCGCGGGGCACGATGCCGAGGGCGCCGATGGCGGTGGCGACGGCGACGAGCACGGCGAGCACGGTGGTGGTGGCGGTGTGGTCGAGCACCAGGCCGATGAGCGGGATGGCCGCGATGCCGCCGAGCGGGAGCGCCGCGTCGAAGAAGTGGTTGAGCGCGACGGCTTGCGGGAGCGAGCCGAAGAGGGATTCGTACTGGGAGCGGATGGTGGCGACGAAGAAGTTGATGCGCGTCATTTGGACCACTGTGCATTCTCTGCGTTAGTGGACAAGGAAAAGTGAGAAAGCGAGGGTGGGCAAGAAAAGTAGGTACCGGTGAAGAGACAGATGAGGATGAACCATGGCGATTTGATCTGCTCCCAGGCCGTGTATCCGTGCATGACGCCCCAGACGCCCGAGATCTCGTTAATATGCTCCTCACGCTCGGTCTGCTCGTCCGCCATGGCCGGGCCGAGGACGGTGTGAATGCCCTCGATCACGTCCACCCGGTGCTGGCGCTCCTCTTCCTGCAGCAGCGCCGTCTCCTCGTCCACCTGGTCATCGTACGGCCCCTGGTCCGCGGCGGCCGCGTGCAGCGGCTCTTCGATTTCCTGGACCAGCTCGCCCACCGTCTTGTACGACTGCGCCGGCATGAGCGTGACCTGCAGCATGGTAATAGCCACGGGGACGAGTAGATAGCCCATGAAGAAGCGTTGGTGGTTGAAGGCGCCATCCGTCCGCTGGTACACGATGCGGTAGAGCAGGAACAGCGCGCTCGACGCGTCAAAGGCGCCGGTCAAGAGCGCGAGTATGAGGCCCGAGTGGCGAGGGAAGGCGTTCGACAGCTGGAAGGACGAGATGTACGTAAAGGGGCCGCCCAGCGCCAGGCAGAGGTAGCCTAGCAGCAGACCATCGAATTGCAGCTGCTTCTCAAACGCCATCAACAGCGTCCCGGCCGCAAGGAACAGGCTCCCCAGCAGACCACAAGCCCTAGGACCATAGTGATCGAGGATCGCCCCGATAGGCAAGGCAGCCACGTTGGTTGCCACGGCCGCAACAGTGAACATCAGGTTGAGGTGCAGGTCAACGCAGGTGTCTTCGTCATCGGACAACTTATCCGCGGCGGCGCATATGTGCCTGTAAGCCCCTTCCGCTTTTAGCACGGGCTTGATGGCGGCGTAGCCAAAGACGACGCCGGCCCCAAAGAAGCAATAGACGACAGCGGCAGCTACTTGGACTATCTCGGTGTTAGTTGAGTGTTTTCCGAGAATGACTTCAGCACCATGGACTTACGCAATCGCTTCCACTTGGGGACTTTAAACGCTCCGACGGCGTGGAGCTGGTCGATGGTCGATGGAGGGTCCCATACTGACGGGAGAGGGTTGAACGTTAGCTTGCGGGCACGCGTGGATGCATCGGAACTCCTCCTGGACCGGACATCGGTGGGAACGATGGTGAAAGTCTCGATGGACGAGACACGGTGTAACGACATGATAGCCTTTGTTTTTTTAGACCAATAGACTACTAATAAAAAATAAGTTTAGAAGACTATGGGCAAAGAAGAATAAGACTGCAAGACTTCAGTGGGCCAGCGTGCTGTAAACAACCTGCGGCCAACAATGGTGCTGACCGGCACGGGGGTGGGTTCCGGTGCAGGGGCAATAACAAGGTTGGAGTGCAGGAACTTGGAACAGTTGACAGCCAGAGACGGGAATTGATGCGTACTTTCCTGCAGGGCCGATGTGGTATCGAACCTGGCCACTAACGAGGCAGGAAGGATCGAGAAGTGCCGGGATACCAGGATACACGGGAAGTGAAGACAGGTGAGTATATGACAAGACTTTTTGAAAATAACCCGACCTCAACACCACAGCTTGGTGTGTTGAGATATCTTAGGTAGTGTATGGATGCATGCACTTGCCCCTCCGCCACCTTTCCCCAAACGGAGTACGGGACATTGATGCATCAAAATCTGCTTGGGGTCACAAGCTCTGTAGCTTGACTCGGAATTTACAATCACCAACTCTTTTCGCCCTCCCAATCGTGCGTCGACTCAACGCAGAGGACGATGATGCAATGTTAGAAATGCAGCTGACCTGCCGAGTCTGCCCCGCTGAAGGACGGCTGGTCCCGCCACTGGTGGGAGCCCCACTTACGCCCGGACGGAGCAAAGTCCCCGAAGATCGGATCCACATCGACGGGCATCGGGGTAAGGTTTGTGGGTGTGTGTGTGTGTTGTGTGTGTGTCTCGGACGTTTGAATCCCTCTCGCGCCGTTGATATGCTCATAAAGGATGGAAACAACTCCATGCCATTTCGCTTCATTGATTATGGATTTCAGGCTCCTTATAACCGACCAGACGCTTCACAGCTCCATGTCCTGCCCGAGCCCTTCCTCCTGAATCCGCCTCAACCCGCCATTCTTCTCGTCATTCTCCTCCTTAAGTCTCGCCTCGACGTCATCCCGAATGGGGCCTAGGTCCGGCGGGATGATCGAGCTCTGCACGCTGGGCGCTTGCGCCACGAAGCGCAGCTGTTCCTGCACATGGGTGATAATCTCGCGCAGGCGCTTGTCCGAGTTGCGGTTGTGGCGCGGCTCGTTCAAGCTTTGCTCGAGCGAGGGGAACAGCGTGTCGTGGATGAAGTGCTCGCGCCACGGCGCGTGGTCCGGGATCGTCTCGGGAATCCGTGTGTCGGCGCCGATGGCGATGGCCGTCTCGTACGCCCACGCCCGCGCCACGTTGCGCGGCGTGTACCCGCCGCCCCCGAACACGATCATGGGGAGGCCTAGGCTCTTGCAGTACCTCACGCACGCGCCGTGGCCCTGCACGCGCAAGTTGAACCGGCCTAGGCGGTCGCCCGCTAGTGAATCGGCGCCGCACTGTAGGGCGATGGCGCTGGGCCGGTAACGCTCGTTGATGGAGCCGATGATGCTTTGGAAGAGCGTCTCGTACTGCTCATCCGTGATACCGTCCTGTAATGGTACGTTGATAGCGTGATGCGCTCCCGGGTTGTGTTCGCTCTTGGGTCCGTTGTCCTCGAGTGCGCCTGTGCCGGGAAAGAAGGTTTCCGGGTGATACTTGTGGAATGAGACAGTCATGACGCGGTCTGTCGAGAAAAAGGCCTCCTCGACGCCATCGCCGTGGTGCACGTCAATGTCGATATATAGTACGCGTGGGTGAGTGCGTAGTAATTGCAAGATGGCGAGCACAATGTCGTTGATGTAGCAGAAACCCGACGCCTCCTTCCTTTTGGCATGGTGTAGCCCACCTCCCCAGGCGATGGCGATGTCGGACTGTTTACTGGTAATCTTGCGGGCGGCATCGAGCGAGCAGCCCGCGGACATGGAGCAGTAGTTATAGAGCCCATGGAAGAGGGGACAGTCACTTCCGCCAAGGTTGAACTTCACATCCTTGCCGGGTTCCTCTATATCTTGCGGCTGGTCCTCTGGCGCTGCCGTCGCCAAGTAGTCAAGATACTCGCTCGAATGGAATGAATTGAGCTCCTCGTACGTCGCCTCCCGCGTCAAGTAGTTGTCCATGGCAAAGGGCATCCCATACGACGTGACCAGGCTCTTGGTCAGCGTCAGCCGCCACGGTTTCATGGGGTGCGTTTGCCCAAAGTGGTGTTTCTCCATCTCCGGCGTGGCGTGGTACGAGACGGTGTAGCCCTTCGGCCGGACGATGCCGTACTCCTGTGCCGCAAATTTCATCTTGTTGAAAAAGATGGCATTCTCACGGTCGTCGGCCTTGCCGAGTGGGAGGGCGTATTCCTCTACAACGGGTCCATCGGTTTCGATATGGTGGGGAAGGTAATTCGGCTTTGGGGGCCTATACCTGTAGGCGGAGGCATCCATAGCCGCACCCGAGACAGTTTTATCAGGTTACCGCGTGTTTGAATATGAAACGCGCTCTTCTGGGATGCCGGAATTGAAGATATTTTGGCTCTGGGATTGATGAGTTGCCGAGTTCCCCTTGAACAAGCTAAAGATACTTTAATTCGGCGCGCTGTGAGTATCTATAGTTGATCGTTGGACAAACCAAGGCTTTGAAACGAGTGAATGTAAAGTAAAGATGAAATTTGGTCGTCAATGTTAACTGTGTTGGCGAATAAACCGGTTGGTGATGGCGGGTCTCGGTGGTTGGAGCTGCATGGATTTGATGAATCTCTAACTGGCTAGCTAATTGAACACATGCACAAGCAAATGTCGTCCTCGATGTGGCCACCCACCCCCGGGGCCTAATGTACGCTAACCTTAATTCCGCTAGCCTCATGCGTTCCCTGCGCATCAGCCTTCCACAAAGCCCAGCCCCGCCGAGATTTTCAGGGCTTTGATTGGGGAGGCTGAGAACCGAACTTCTTCCGCTGTGAAACAAACGCGGGCTTCGGCGACAGGAAACAGCTATTCCTGCTTGCTCTCCACAAGAATCCGGCCTCGCCTTCCCAGCTCGATTCTCATCAATTTCGCGCCAACTCTCTCAAGCGACAGGGGTACGTGCTAGCCGGGGATCAGAAATTTCCCCTTTCGAGAGGTGAGCCTGTGGAATTCTCCTCTGTGAACCACATTTCTGCCGGACTTTTTTTTTCTGAGCAGTGCTGCCCTGCGTCATCCACTGAGATCTTGGCTTCGTTCTCCCTGCGCTTCACGATCCACGTTTTTGGTTCAACACTGCTTCCAAATAAAAAAGAAGAAAAAAAAAAGGCAAAAAAAAAAAAGAAAAAGAAAAGGAAACGATACACCGTGGTTGTTATCCGATCAAGTTTATCATTCTATTATATCCTGCTTTCGGCATCTTGTGTTTCTCTGTTCTTATAGCAGTGCCCCGGTTGTCTCTTGAGCCGGGTAGACTTTGGAGTGGGGCAGTCGCTATCACAAGCTTCTAGTCCGGCTTCATAACGGGGTGCCACGAAGGCAGTGCATACGCCGTACGGCGCGTTAACAGCCATGCCTAGAGACGATTTATCCATCGACTTCGTCCGGAAGATGCCGCCGGTCGAAGCGGCCGATCCGGCACTCGTCCTCGACGAGTATTTCAACAGAACCCAAAACTTCCCCGAGGAACTGCGCTTCGTGCAGGAGGAGATCGCAGAGAAGGACCGTCAATATAAGGAGTTGATACAGGAGATCGAAGATCGGGATGGGCGAATACAAAAGTGGATTAAGGCTCACGGTAGCCACCACCTAAACCCAAAAGAGGAGGAATACCGGACAACCATAAGGAAGAACTATGCGCAGGCAGAGCAACTCTCGAACGAGAAGATCGCCCTAACACAGAAACTGCTACATAATATGGACAAGCACACCCGTCAGCTCGATATGCAGATCAAGATGCTCTACGACCGTGGCGAGCCCGGCTTTACCGACCCGGATGAACTCCCCTCTCTCATCCGCTCGAGCGCTGCGAACGTAACGACCGGGATCGGCGGCCCCCGAGGCGCTAATGGGACGACTCCCGCTACCTCGGCGCTCAACAACCTAGCAAGTGGCACGCAGGTGCGGGCAGCGAACGCCCAGGTGCGCCACGCCCAAGCACAACAACACGGCTCGGCGTCCGCGCCAGCGACCCCGGCAGCGAGCATGATCATGAACCGCCAGGCGCGAGAGAGCTCGGCCGGCCCCGCAACTAAACGCATGCCCCGATCCAACAGCGGCTTAGGCACCCTCCCCGCAACATCCAGCGGGCTTGCCCGCCACTCCTCGCTCGGACCTGGGACGCCCAAGGGCCACCAGACAGCCACCGGTGTTCAGCGCGCCGGTAGCGCTGGGCCGCGCGCCACATCCAAGGGCTCCCTCGCGGGCGGGTCCCGTAAGGCGGGCACCCCGTCCAGCACATCCGGCCGTAAGAAAGGCACCCCCGCGGCGGGCAGCACCATCAACAAGTCCGGCCTGTCCCGCGTCAAACGCGCCGCCAAGAACTCGCCCTCCTCCGCCGCCGAAAGCGAACTCTCCGACGCCGACTCGGCCAGCGACTCGGCCAGCGACACACGCACAGGCGGGCGCGGGACGCCAGCCGCCTCCTTCTCGCGCTCCACCTCCAACCAAGCCGCACTCCCCACCCCCTCCGGCGTCCGCGAGGCCAGCAACCCCCACCGCCGCACACCCTCAGGCCCCAGCGCCGCAGCATCCAACCACCACCCACCCCACAGCGGCGGCAGCGGCAGCGGCGGCGGCGGAGGCGGAGGCGGGGAGCGCCAGCACGGCACGCGGCCCAGCCCACACCCCCGCGGCGGCGGGGGCGGGGGCGGGGGCGGGGGCGGGGTCAAGGACGAGGACGACCTGATGGACGTGGACGACGACGAGGCCGTGGACGACCGCAAGTACTGCTCGTGCCAGAACCTCAGCTTCGGCAACATGGTGGCGTGCGACAACGATCACTGCCCCTACGAGTGGTTCCACTGGGGCTGCGTGGGGCTCAAGAACGAGCCGAACGGCACGTGGTACTGCCCCGAGTGCAGCGAGAAGCTGAGGAAGCGGTAGGTGGGTGGCCTGGTTGTTTTTGTTTGTTTACTTTGGGTTATTTGTGGCAGAGCTTAGCTGGTCATGGTTGCGAGGTGGGTTACAATAGAAGCGTTTTACTGGGGGCCTAGTCTATCGGGTTGACGGTTGAGTACAAGCAAGAGTCGAATAAGCCATGTGCTCAAAACACTGTCAAACAGATTGCGACCCCTCTCTGTTGATAAGTAGGATCATAGCACGATATACTAAAGATGATTCAACTGCGCTTGGTTGTCTCAACTACAAATGTCTATTGGTGGTAGGTGGCAGGCGGCATCTCCCATCCACCTGTTACTCTGCCATCCGGCCGAGAGCCGAGCAGACGACACCATACCGTCACATTAACCATCCCGTTTTTCCACCCTTCAAAAAGCGTATGCAAAGGCCGCGATATTATAACTTGTTCGGCACAACAAAGCAGAAGAACAAAACCCGTCCCCTCGTGCCCGGAAAAAACACACACGCCAAGCTGACCAGAGCGCCTTTAATGCTCAAGCAGGCGCAAGCTACCCTGGACAACGACGTTCTCGAGGATCGATCCGGGCGGGATGTCGATGGTCTGGCCCTCGGTGGCGACAATGATGACGGTGCCCTTGAGGGTGACGCCACGTCCTAGGTTGACGGCGCCCGTGATTGTCAAGTGGTCGAGCTCGATGATCTTGGGAATGCTGGGAATACGCTTCTGGAAATCGGAGACCTTCTTAAAGTCACCGCCGAGCTTAATCAGCGGGGCATCGCCGAAGCGGTTCGCGCTCATTTGCAGCTGGCCATGCTTGACCGTGTACAGATCCGACTTGACGAGCATCAGGTCGGAGCACGTCTTGACGGGCAAGAAGCGGCGGCGGGGGACGTTGACACCGTGGGCGTTCTTGAAGTGCTTGATGGCGGCACCGACGGCGGTCTCGAGCTGCAGAATGCTAATGTCCGACTCGCCCTTCTTGTCGCCGGGGATCGTCTTGCCGTTGGGGATGATCTCCATCTCGAGCTCGTCGTTCTCCACGACGCGCTTGATGGCCTTCAAGTTCATCCAGATGTTGTTGGTGTTGAAGTACTTGAACTTCTTGATCGACTTGAACTCGTTGACGTGCTCCTTGGGGACCTGCGCGATTTCGAGCAGGCGCACGCTGCCCTCGTAGTCGATGATGGTGCCACCCTTGACATCCGCCTTGGTCTTGTTGGTAAGCTCCATGATGTACTCTGCCTCGCTCTCGACCATGTGCTGCAGAATGCGGAGGTCAACCACGGCACCGAGGTTGTCTGCGTTAGAGAGAAAAATGATCTCGATGCCGCGATCAAGCAGCTTGTCGAGAATGCCCGAGTTGTACAGCGACTCGAAAACGTCACCGTGTCCGGGCGGGTACCAGTCATGGACGGCCGAGTCGACCGACTTGGGCACGGGGAGGAGCGAGTCCTTATAGATTCTGGGGTACCGGGACTGGTTGAAGGTGAGAACGTTCACGTTGTGGCCCTCGTACTTCTTGATGATGGCCGCGGTGTCCTCGTCCGTGTTGAACGAGTTCATGAGGAGAATTGGCACGTTGGAGCCATATGTGCGGTTGAGGTACTCGACTTGACGGACCGACATGTCCAGGAAGGACATGCCATCGCGGACTTCAATGACCGATTTGGGACCGACGCAACCCATAGACGTTCCCAGGCCACCGTTGAGCTTCAGAACGGCGAGCTTGTTGAGGAAGTTGACCGACTCAGAATTGGCGAGGTCGTCATAGTCGACGACTTGGCCCTCGGCAGGCGGCGCGATGCGGTCCCATGAGCTGCATTAATAGAATCTATCAGCCTCGTTCCGGCGTTTGACGTGAAAAGCACCTACACTTCGTTGCCCTTAGCCTTGTCATTCAAGTACCGGCGGAAGAGCGAGAAAAAGTTGTCCATTTCGGTCTCGAACAACTGTGTATATTGTTAGACCGTGTCTCGTTCCGGTTGCTGTATCCATTTCGACTTGCCTTCTTCTCTCTCGGGTCCTTCACCGTCTCGGCCAGGTTGGTGAGCGCATTGCGCATTTGGGCGGCGGCGATGTTGGTCGAGGTGTTCTCGAAAGCCTGGGGGGGAGTTGGTGGTTAGCCTGACATTGTTGTCCCCAAAGTGCCAAGTCAGGGGAGGTGAGAATCAACATCGGCACCCATGCCCGTCGCCCGTCGTCTGTACTGTCCCTCCGTTGCCATCATGATTCAATCACAAGGGGAGTTTCTCCAAGCAGACATGCTTCAACCTAGGTCCCAGGGGCCGATTGCCAAAGTCCTAGTGTTCTCTCAAGCAGCTTGGGGTTGGGGGCATCGGAGCGACCCGTCCCCTAACTGCCATAGTTCATGAGGCCCCTTGAAAAGATCGGACGGCGGCGGTTGCCCCACGTATCCAAGCTGTTCCTCTGACGAACATGCAATGCAAGGGGGCTAAGCCACCGCTCCGTGTCACCGGCAACACAGCTGCACGCTCGGCCCTCCATTCCACGATGCCTCAGACATCCCCAACAGACGACGGCCCAAAAAAAGAGCTAAGGAATGTGTGTTTGGGACTCACCATGTGGGATCTTGTCTTGCCATGGTGCCTCTTGGCAAACTCGGCCTCATCGCCGTTCCCAGGCTTGAGGTGGGAAGGCAGGGCACTCTTAATTGTTTGCGCCGCCATTTTTGCTGTGGTAGTTTGTCGGGTCGGTTGCCACAAGGTTGAGAGAGTTGGTTGGAGGTTGAAGATAAAGTTCGGGCCCGGTCAACCACAGGAAGCGGAGTTCGGGTCGCGTTTGTACTCGAGGATCGTGAGACAAGTCTGGTGACAAGACACAAGTGCGAAGTGGGAAGGGGCTGTTTGACAGGATAAATTAGCCGATTGACGTAATGATGGGTTGGTAGGGAACCTTGTGGCCGAAGTGGGATCGACTGGATCAACCCCTCCTTCCTGTGGTGGAACTGCGAAATGTAGCAGTGATTTGGCAGAGCTCGGGTTGCGGGGCTTTGTTTGGAGGGGAAGCTCGAACACAGCTTGGCAAAACTCACAATTTTGGTCGTCAAGGTTGCTGTAACAACTCGCGATATCTACACAAAGAGGCGAGAGGAAACTCAAACCACAAGTCTCGAGAGAAACAAGGAGGGAAGGACGATGAGGTGAGAGAAAGGCGGTCGGGTGGCCCCAAAGGTTCCCGCCCCTGGGAATTGGATGCTTTTATCGTTTCCCACCGATCGCCAAAGCTCCCCTTGTCAGTCGTGTTAGTGGATCAGGTATTTCGGTTGCCGCTTGTCAAACCAGGATCAGACACAACAGTTGGTCTTTGGTGGCGCAGGTTGCCGTAATACGATCCCGTTGCAACGGTGCTTCAAACGGTGGATTATGATGTGTCGAGGTGACCCATGGCGTTCTATTGCATTTTCACTCATGAGTACCGTTTGCCGGGACCGATACGGCGTTGTAACAAGGGATAACTACAACCAAATGATGCCTCGACGGCATGCAACCCTCGAGCTGGACTCTAGCCGTCTCCCTCGGCAGGTTGCAGTGATTGTCGAGGATCGGGTGATTTACTCGCGGCAGGATGCCGGGTGGCAAACGCTCGCCTCTGCCACATGGAAGTTGTTCCAGGTTGCTTCTTCCATCCCACCTGAGCCTCCCCCTTGTGCCGCTGGGCATCAACTTTCGAGGTGCCAGGTCGAGAGACATGGGACGCTAACAGAGGCACCGAGAAGCCCCTCCAAGCTTGGCCCAGACCTAGGAGACCCCCTGTTGAATAAAACCCGAAAGGCTACCTCATGCACTCAGCCCAACGCGACGGGAACTAAATAAATCACAAATGTGGCTCGCCATCATCACCCAAGGTCCACCACTTATTGACTGGGAAATTTGCGGTGTCTCCTTTGGGAATCAGGCGCTCCAATAATTCCTAGGTTGAGGAGCTGTTTCGTGTTCCAGTTCTGATTCTGAGCACTAAGTTGTTCGTCGCACCTGCCTCGCAAGTGGGAGCTTGGCGTGGTGGCTGCCAACTGGTAAATGCACACCTCCTGGCAGGAGCGACACTCGGGTTTGTTAGGAGGAAGGGACTGGTGGGCTCGGCCCTTCAGCTTCTTAGCGAAGACAAAGGTGTGGTGGCGAGACCAAGCAAAACCTCGCATCAACGTTGTATCCCAGGAAAAAATATCTCATCATCTCTCCTTTTCCTTCGGGCCTTGTTTCTTTCTTGCCGAGCTCCACCCCGCTTTGATTGATGCATCCACGCAGAGAATGAAAGTTGCCCGCATCGCCTCTGTGATGGGTCCCCCCGACATTTTACAAAAGTACGAAGTACCTACGTTTGTTGCATTGCAGCAATGATTTGGACCGCCAGTTCAGGTGACCTGACCCACGTGGGGAAAACGGGGGAGTTGCTTTGTCTTGTCCAGGTTGAAGATCGACTATGAGACACGGCAGGCACTCGGCACCTCCCGGGACACCTCAAACACTGAGCCGCATTCTCCCGTCTTCAAACATGGGGGGGATTCGATGGTAGCCACTCTCCGCTGGGCAAGCCATCTTCGTGTGAAATACTGGTTGAAAATTGGCCAAACAAAGCTACGCTAGCTTCGGGAGGGATAGCTGTATGTGGTATACCAACAAACCGCACCGCAACGTTTTTCATCGCATTTCAAGCTGACGTTGAACATGAAAGCATTGCCGAGAGCCGCCAGGGGGTTCTCAGGGACCCCTCGTTCGGACCACCGCTTTTCGGATTGGCCAAGACGCCCGGCCCCACTCCGGCCGAGAACCCATCATCGCCCACCGCCATCGCCGGGCATCGAGTCGGTGAAGGTTGCTCTGCCCTGAGCCGTTTCCGACTGACGTCTCCGGCTCGCATCCCCGCTACTTACTTTACCGCTAAGTCTTGCATTGCATTGCAGCTGCCAACGCATGCGTTGACCACCCGGGAAATACACAGTATCTCCATCAACTCTTCTTCAGACGGGCCACCCCTGAACCCGGGATTCCTAATCCGTGGCTAGAGTCCCATAACTACAACACTCGTCGTCGACATTGATCATCAAGGCCCATGGGCAGTTTTCCAAAGGATCTGCCGTACTGGCAGGTCAACATCCCCGACCATCTGAGGACCGCCGAGTGCCCCGACTTTCTTCGCAACCTCACGGACAAGGATCGCGGTATCATCAGCACACCGGACAGCGAATATGAGATCGACTCCTGGGCTGTGGTACAGGGAAAGGTGTCACAGAACCGGCTTGAGCTTTTCCAACGGGTCCCGTCCGAACTCCGCCGGTATCTGGGCTTTACATGGAAGCTCAGGCAAGACTATGGCAGCGTCATGAATTTCATTTTAACACAACGGCTGCGATGGACCATGCCGATCACGCCGAAGGGTCGTCCGTTTGAGTTTGACGACGACGTTAGGGTGCTAAGGAATGACTGGCCTTACGGTATCGATAAGCGAATCGTGCACCTCGTCGTCTGGACCAAGTTTGCCCTTGAGGAGGACCCAGCGACGGGGGATCTGACTGACGCGGCACGGGCCGAGATCGACTCCTACGTTCGCAAGACATTCTCCAAAATGCTTCCCGATCATGTTGGTTGCGCTGACCTCTATGGCTTCGTGGTGACGCTGACAGACAACAGGTTATTTGGTTCAAGAACTGGGCTTCGCTCAAGTCTGTAAAATCAGTGGAACACTTTCACGTAATGTTGTTTGATCCAAACATGGAGTTTGTCGATGAGATAACCAACGGCGACGTCCCTCTATGCGAGAAGGAATGAACCGGCGCCCCGGTTTTAGGATTACTCGTAGACGTTCCCAGCCGAGTAGACATTAGACAGCGAGACAAAGGTGCATTATCGCGGCTACGATCTGCCTACCGCCCTCTGCCTTTCGAGAGACTCCCACGTTGTCCGAACCTCCACAATGGGGCAGTCCGCCATCGGGACCGCGGTGGGCTTCTCCATCCGAATACAGACCTGCCAGCCGTCCTCCCTCCAGCGTGAAGCTAGAACAGCCTCTGTTAGATGAGCGCCCAGAGCCTCAAGCGTTTCGAAGGATGATGCGTCCATTGCCTAAAATCCGTGTCAGCAACACATTTTCGGCCGCGCTCGCTACGGGGCGTTTCAATGAGTGAACTTACCGTCACAACGTCGCGCTCAATATCGGTATACGCATCCTCCCCCCTCGTAAACCCCTCGACCGTGACCGTCGCGATCACGAACTGTTTCGCCAGCCTCTCATTCGCATTCACCCCAACCAGCGTCGGCACCTTCAGTCGACTAACCTCCAACGCCATCGCCCTCCCCTCCATCTCGCCTCGTTCGGCAGCATTGAACACTGCGCTCGCCGTCAACCGCACCCCGTCCCCAAGAAGCGACGCCTTCGGCAGCACCACGGTAACGGACAACAGCCGCACCTTGTTCAGATCCAAAAAAGCCGCCGTAGCATCCCCATCCCGAACCCGCCCATCAAGCTCCAACCCCGTCAAATCCCCCCACACCCTCCCCAACACATCCCTCAGACTCCTTTCCCCCTCGACCCCAACCTTACTCCCCTCCCCCACCTCCGCCGCCACCTCTCCCTCAAACCTCGCCACACTCCCCAGCACCGCCTTACTCAACGTGCCATAATGCACCGTATCGTCGCCCAGAGCATCGCGCGCCGACGCCGCCGCAAAGGGCGCGTGGAAGGCCACCTCGGCCGAGACGGTGCAGGGCTGGGCCTTGCGCGCGCGGCCCCAGGCGTCGTGTCCCGCGTGCTGCAGGGGCGTGGTCGTGGACAGGTTGCGGATGGAGACTGTGGCGGGGGGGTCGGGGGCCAGGGCGCGGAGGCGGGGGTGGGTTAGGAGGGGGGTGGGGGGTGGTTGGGGGTTTGGTTTGGGGGGGCATGGTGAGGAGTTTTTGTTTTTTGTTTTTGGGGATGGGTTATGGTGGTTGTGGTGGTTTGTGGTGATTGTGATTGTGGTTGTGGTTGGGGTGTGTAGATGATGGAGAGGGCTGTTTTTCGGAGAGTTGTTGAGTCGTTTGTTTTCCCTTTTTTGAAAGGTTGCGAGGTCGGAGACGTGGAGGTTGTGTGACACGGGTAGCAGCCTGGGTGGTGGGCCTCAAACGGACAACTCAGGAAGGTGACGGAATAACCTCGAAATTAATGAGGATGAGGATGATGGTTTGGTTCACTCAAGGGCAAGCGTCACAGCAACTTTGGAAGCGGAGTGAGTTGGATGGGTCATGAAGAAGGGTGAGGATACATGGCAAAAGTGAAGGTAACTCGCGGGTTAGGGTTGTTGGTGGAGGAATTCTTTGGGGTGTTATTTCCACCACAACTTCTAACTAGCGGCTAAGTAAGTTGGTAGTTAGAGCTAACATCTCGCCTCTCTTTCCATTGTAACATAGTCAACCGATTTAATTTACAAAGGTCAGTTCCTGGGCGGTAGCGTAAACTATACAACCGTACATACATATCGACATCCCGACGTATCAAGAACAACAGTCGCATTACCTAAGTCGGTACCTATCTTCTTGAGAGAGGCTGTCGCCGAGCAGGTACTCAGGCACATTACTATGGTCTTCTTGCTATTTTAGATGGTAATAGCTTTTCTCAAACCTGCGTCTTTCTACATGAAAAGTACGGAAGAGAAACCATTCTCCGGCCCATACACTGTGTCTTAGTGATGGAGAGGGCCGCCGCGGTTCACCAAAGCGCCGGCCGAAAAGCCAGAAAATACTAAGGATCAACAGAGGAAGCTATGAGCGTACAAGAAGATATAACCAGCCGGGTTCCTCTTCGAGCCGAGTACAGTGTACCTCAAATACACCTTAAGGCGAAGTAAGACCTAGGCAGGTTTCCATCTGATCTCAACCCAGAACCATACCCAACGCCCTGAGGCTCCGGCACCTTTTTGGCACCTTATATACCAGATCTGCACTCGCACTATCACCGCCTCCTCCCAATTGAAGTCAAACACTGGTTTGGCTCAGCGGTATTGGGAGGAGGACCGGTTCGACACCAATCGAAATCGGACCGGTTCGACTCCCCTCGCGGCGCAAAATCCTAATTTTCAGGATTTTCGTAGCTACCAACCTTTATTCGACCGGCGAATGGGGCTTGGTGGTGAGCTTTTTGTTTTCTCTCCTACTTCGGTTTTTTTTTTTTTTTTTTTTTTTTTTTTTAATTCCACTCGCTCCGAGCTAGGGGGATTTGGGAATTTGAAAGAAAAAAAAGCCCACCCATTGCCTCAGCCAAACCTACCTCTGAGTTAGCCAGCCTAATTGTTACTGAGGGAAGGAACGCAGGAGCAAGCTAAAGAGATTGCTGCGGCACCACCATGAACTCACGTAATTGACACCTCGGGATAACGGCGACTTTTTCAATTCGACAATAGAGAGATTTCTGTCACCATCAATTCAAGCGAGGATATCGAGCACCATCGCACGATGAACATAATAGGAATTATGACCTGCTCCTCATGTCGCCAAACCACAACGAGTTGGAAAGAGAGAGAGCAAAAGAGGAAACTTGAACTCATTCCGACGCTCCATTATTCGCACGATTCCCTCCGTACAAAGTCAGGGTGGGTACTCATGTGCGGCAACACGGCAGCAACATATTGTCTAGGCGTGATAAGACTGACCCGCTGATATGATATTAGGCCGCCCTGGGTTGAAATTTAATAAGACGCAGGAGTACGAGAAAGGATCTGGTATTGATGCTACACGGTTGGTTGGGTATGGGGGCATGCAACCGACAACGGTTTTGGGCCTCGTTATCACCCCGTTGCCGACCCATACATCGTTTGTGCAGCTATGGTTCTCGTATATCGGCACATGCTGACGTGTTTTGTCTTGAGTGTGCTCGCAGATCCGGGACTGCAACCCGTGCTGCAAAGAGACGAGCAACGGGAACTCGCCGCGATCTCTCTCAGTTAATTCCCGCAACCTCTGAGAAAGTATTTGTTCTGAAGCTCCCGTCCCTTTATTATCCGCCCCGGGTATTCGGGCTCTTCATCCAAGACCTCGCAGGTGATGTGGGAAGGCCAAGACACAGTAAGCTTTCATGGCTTTGCGGTATTCCTGGTTATCTTTATTGGCGGAAATCAAGCATCCTCGGCATCTCGAAATGGCCAGGCGCCCGTGCCTCCTCCATGGCGGCCCCATGTTGACTCCGGCTCGGCGGCGGGGGAATGTTTGATGGAAGGATGGCTGTGGGGCCTTCGTTCTGCCGATCTCAGCCGTTGAATAACGCGTGCAATGCATCAACTCCACCCTCCGAAGCGCTCTTGACGGTATACGTCGTTGGTCATCCGTTCTCTAATGCACTCGGCCCGCAGTCCATCTCCCAGCCGCCTCGCTACCGACTCCGGCCGGGAAGTGAGGCCGAAGCCGCGTGAGGAGGGATAATAGCCGCCGGCGGCCGAGGGTTGACGTCTTAATTGCAACTGGGTGTACCAGTGGGGGGGGAAGAAGGAAAACCGGGGCAGACGTCATGCCTGCGGCTCTCCGGGGGTATTTGGTCGCGACTGTGTAGGGGGGCGCAGTGTTCCTGCGTTCGGTGTGTTACTCCCGCGTTAACAACAAGGGTTCTCGATTGCGGCGGCTCGCGCGTGCAATCAATCGCCTGCCCCTTTGAGGAATGGGAGCCGCCGCTTCATATTGGATACACCTCCAAGTCCAGGTTTCAGGTTTTCGAGTCGTCTTGCCCAGACGCCGATCTGAGCTTAACCGGTCAACTCGGTAGATCTCCTCCCGGAAATCCGCAATCTGCCTATTTTGTTCAGGCAATCAGAGCCGCAATGCACCGGACGGTCCCTGACGGTCGGGCTGCGATCGACGGGTCGACAGCGATTGGGGGTCGGAGTTTGGAAGACAACCCGACGCTGACATGCTGGAAAGAGAAGAGGAGGACTGGCAGACATCGAACGACCTGACCCGATGCGGTCCACCCCCTTACGCCCCCGGTCAAACCACCGAGCAAGCCCGGGAGATCGTCCCGTGTCGAACCCCCGGCGCAACACCGTCCGGCAGTGCAAGCGACATGGACCTGGGCCCGCAGCTCGCTCGTGGTTGGGCCGAAGAAACCATCAACGCCGTTATGCCCCACGATGGGAGCCGCCTCGTCAGCGTGGGGAGCGTGGCAACGAATAGGGGATCTCGGGACGAGACTCAGATTCCCCTGTTTAGTGCCGTTTCCCCAGGTTCCGTCGTTCAACAGGAAAGACAAGAGCCGATCTGGGGAAGAAACTTGCTCGTCGTAAACCCCTGGGGAAAGATCTCGAGTGGATCTGGGGCATCAAGAGGGACGTATAAAGGGGAGAGACCTCCCCGGCCGTTCAAGTCAGAAGGGAGAGAAGCATCCTCAGTGTTCGCTCAGTTCAATCCTTAGCAGTCCATCTACAGCCCGCCACCATGTACAGGCAGGTCGCTACCGCTCTCTCCTTCGCCAGCCTCGTGCTCGGCCAGCAAGTCGGCACCCTGACGGCCGAGACTCACCCCTCGCTCCCCATCGAGGTGTGCACGGCTCCCGGTTCCTGCACCAAGGAGGACACCACCGTGGTCCTTGACGTAAGTGGCTTTGGCTTCGCTCTCTTCGGTAAACCAGCAAGTCACTGACTTCCCACTCAGGCCAACTGGCGCTGGACTCACGTCACTGACGGCTACACCAACTGCTACACGGGCAACGCGTGGAACGAGACTGCGTGCCCCGATGGCAAGACCTGCGCGGCCAACTGCGCCATCGATGGTGCCGAGTATGAGAAGACCTACGGCATCACGACGCCCGAGGAAGGCGCGCTCCGCCTCAACTTCGTCACCGAATCCAACGTCGGCTCGCGCGTCTACCTGATGGCCGGCGAGGACAAGTACCGCCTCTTCAACCTCCTCAACAAGGAGTTCACCATGGACGTGGACGTCTCCAACCTCCCTTGCGGCCTGAACGGCGCCGTCTACTTCAGCGAGATGGACGAAGACGGTGGCATGTCCCGCTTCGAGGGCAACAAGGCCGGCGCCAAGTACGGCACCGGTTACTGCGACTCGCAGTGCCCCCGTGACATCAAGTTCATCAACGGCGAGGTAAGCAATTCCATTCTTCGCCTACAGTCACGATTTCTCGATCCAGGCTTGCTAACCCCATGAACAGGCCAACTCTGAAGGCTGGGGTGGCGAGGACGGCAACTCGGGCACCGGCAAGTACGGCACCTGCTGCGCCGAGATGGACATCTGGGAGGCCAACCTTGACGCCACCGCGTACACCCCCCACCCGTGCAAGGTCACCGAGCAGACCAGGTGCGAGGACGACACCGAGTGCGGCGCTGGTGACGCTCGCTACGAGGGCCTGTGCGACAGGGGTAAGTTGCAAAAGACAATACTACCACTCTCCCCTTTCTTTTTGACGGTGCTGACAACAGCCCCGCAGACGGCTGCGACTTCAACAGCTTCCGCCTCGGCAACAAGGAGTTCTACGGCCCGGAGAAGACGGTCGACACCAGCAAGCCCTTCACCCTCGTGACCCAGTTCGTCACCGCCGACGGCACCGACACGGGCGCCCTCCAGAGCATCCGCCGCTTCTACGTCCAGGACGGCACCGTCATCCCCAACTCGGAGACCGTCGTCGAGGGCGTCGACCCCACCAACGAAATCACCGACGACTTCTGCGCCCAGCAGAAGACCGCCTTCGGTGACAACAACCACTTCAAGACCATCGGTGGCCTGCCCGCCATGGGCAAGTCGCTCGAGAAGATGGTCCTCGTCCTCTCCATCTGGGATGACCAGTAAGCTTTTCCCCTCACCCCCGCCCCCACGATACACAAATATTAACATATCCCTTTCCCTCAGCGCCGTCTACATGAACTGGCTCGACAGCAACTACCCCACCGACGCCGACCCGACCAAGCCCGGTGTTGCCCGCGGCCGCTGCGACCCCGAGGCCGGTGTGCCCGAGACCGTCGAGGCCGCCCACCCGGACGCCTACGTCATCTACTCCAACATCAAGATTGGTGCCCTCAACTCCACCTTCGCCGCCGCTTAAATGGATTTAAGACACGGACGGTGTGCTGGGTAGGCTGGCTGGCTGGCTGGCTGTTTTGCTGTGCTGTGCTGTGCTGTGTGGTTTTGGGTTCGGGTATATATATACTAGATGGGGGTGCATGTATATAGAGTTGCTCTTGTATGAGGGCTAACAGCGCCGATTATTTGTGGTGCAATAGATTCCGAGTCTGCTTTTTATGCCTTGTGTCTTGCTGTGACCTGCGATTGTGTGATACTTTGCGCCCGGGCTCTGGGCGTTTACTCTACCGTTAAGCACCAAGCGGCTTGGTGTTCCGCGGTTATGACGTTGTTATTAAGAAAACTGTGAAGCACCGAGCATGGAGCTAGGTGGAGCGTTGGTGGCCGATGGCTTATTGATCATGCGAACGAGTTTGATAGGGAGAGGGATATTATCGAGAACAACGACATTGACAAGAAGGATCACTTTGGCGAGGAGAAATATGTTAGTAAAAAGATTGACTCAAAAAAAAGAAAGGGAAAAGAAAACGACTTGAGAAACTAGAAAGAGAGCGAAGTTGATAAACACCTCGAAGGAAAACAAACTTAAAAGGAGA